AGGGGCATCATCACCAGCTGTATGACCAACACCGCTTCCTCTAGCAGCTGCACTGTGCTTCAAGTCTTGCTTCCAAACTACTGACCAGGTCTTACCCCCTGAAATCTGTGAGCTCCCATTGAAAGCCCATCAAGGGATGTCAACCCATCACCTGAATATCCGATCAGCAGGGAGTTCATTTTCCAGGCATGTATAGTAGGATAAGGATGCCCAGTTCAACACACAGTGTACTCTTGTATATTCTGCTTTTGTCTGGATGTTTTCTACTATCTGGTTTTATATTCTCCTTTACAGTAAGCATTTCTAGTGTTCCTAGTCCGAGTTTATACTGAGAACCGTTTAATCTCAATAAAAAACAAATAAATGAGTAGGTACGAAGAAGTCACCATCGCTACCATCTTGCTGACAAGCTGAGACATTAAAATGCCATATGGTAGGCTGTCCTCCTGATAACCCCAAGCAGAAGGATGTACAGAACTGCTTCGATCCATACAGATAGCTTGTGTTCATGATATGAGTCCATAATATGTACTTTCAGCTAGGGGTTTCCCAGAAAGGTGATGTTGAGCGAAATAAAACAGTTGCTACTCACATATTCTACCTAGGTGTTGTGAGAGATGTGTGTGGCATTATATCAATGTAGAGCGCAAGGAGCGGACGGGCTATTGTTGCTTTGATTCATCAACTTTTAATTCTTTTTTTAATACATTTTGATTTGCTGTACCTGACTCCCTCAGATCTCACACTTCTGTGATTCTGAATGATGAAGCGATTTCTTTTTTTTTTTCAGAACGGACGGGTGACTAATTCCATTTTTAAACAAATTCAAATAAATGTTCATTTAGCTCTAAATCAGCTCGGCAGATCTGAGAAAATGCAGACCTAAAGATCAACTGTCATGTTTGACTGGTCCAAACAACCCTCTTAAATGTTATTAGAAGAAAGGGGGAAAAAAATCTCCTTTTTTAATGAAAATCTATTAGTGTAAAAGTAGAACGTGATAGAAAAAGAACCCCCAGAGAGGCCCATTACCATTACAGCAATGGAAGTCTGCCTACATTTTATTCCTTTATTCATCAAAGCACTTGCTTAACTTTAAGTCTGTGCTTTATAGTCCGTCTTGTTCAATGAGGACTTCAGATATAAAACTGACTGCTCTGCCTGCAAAGAGAGGCTTTCCTGAATCAAGTCTTTCGCCATGTGCCCAAGTCCCATTATGGTCAATGGGGTGTTTAAATGCCTTGTTGTTTAAGGGTAGCAGTGCCCAACATTTTGGCCATCCAGGGTCAGGCTGCAGGCTGGGTCCTGTGCAGGGTCAGTCCACAGGCAGTTAACAGTGCTGCCACACTCCCATTGCCAAATTTGTGGACCTTTGGGGAACTCTGCAGGCTGAATCTGGCCTGGGACCCGGGTTGAGCGCCCCTGGTTCAGGACGTTAGCAAGAACAGACCGTTTCATCTGGTAAGCCAGTTCTTCCATTCAAAGCAGTGTTTTTGTGCCTGCTTGTCAAAGTAAAACCTTCTTGCTTTGCTCGGGAAATTAGAATGCTAGTGAAGAGTAGCATAATCATTTTTTTTTTAAAAGGTAGAACGTAATATTGCATTATCTCTGACCTTGAAGCTGAATTGCATTCTTCTTGTCAATGAGATAAGTGTATATTTTGTGTATGCTGCTTTAGATGGGTATTTCAGTAGATACTTCAATAGATACTTAATTAAAGACAGGAAAGACTTCTCCAACGATAGCAACAGTAGAAAGGCACCCATGTAACAAGACAGCATTTGTTAGGAATAAATGCACCCAGCAGCAAAGCACTCATCTAAGCTCTACTTTATCATTGCCAATCCTCTGCTTGGATTTATACAGTCATTAGCATGTAGGCAGAGAAGAACAGCTTTATTCCCACCTCCTACCCCTTGTAGGTTCAAATGATGACGATCTGGAATCAACCTCGCCTGAGGCTGGGGCATTGTTTGGATCTGGCGTTTTGGCTCAGCCTTCTCAAACTAGAAGATGTAGCACTGGTCTTGTATCATAGTTTGTAGATCTTTCCTGTGAATAAACTGTGCCTTCCTTCTCTGCTTTAAATTTAAAATAGATGCATTGATTCTGTTTGCCAGGATGACGGATTTTCCCTTCTTCATTGGTTACTATATTGACAAAAATGTAGGGCTCGCATTTGGATGTTGCAAGGATCATTTATTCAGTATATGATACAAGTTGCAAGCGTAGATTCTGGCTAGTTTAGGACACACACAGGTGTGTGTGTGTATAGTCCCCCTACTCTGGAAAAATGACATTAACACTTGTACAGAGATGACAATGATGCTGTAAAGCAGTTGCCCACCAGAAGTAATATGTAATAAGCAGTAGTAGAAGTTTTCTTGATCTTGAGTCTTGGAGCCCATTGAATCTGTAGCTAGATATTAGCTGATGTCACTTTTATATAGTTTCACTGAAAACCGTAATCTATACCTGCTGAAGATCTGCCCCATGATCTTTAGAGTATCCAGCTGTGTCGTACATTTGTATCATAACATGTTTTCAAGTCATTACTCAAAGACCGGGATGTTTTGAACGGTCTGTGGCTGCGGTAGACATGAATACTTCAGCTTCATTTGTCCTGACAAATGAAATGAGAATGACAATGGTGGAAGAGTCCAAAAAGACTCCTAGTAAGAAATCCCCATGGAGAGCCACTAGAAATCAGTTCAAAATGTAGTAGGCAATGGCACCTGTTACTGGATAAAATATCCAGATGCAGGATGCCTTTATAGTTTACTCCAAGACTGAGGAGATAATATCTGATCATTCCACATATATGAAGCCTTAGAAATGCTTCTGTCATTCAAAATTTTACAAAGGAAATATAATTTGTGGGTATTCAGGTGCTGCATAGACAGATGGAAGCACAGCAGGTAGATAAATACTGACATTCTCTTCCATGAATACCTTCAAAAGAAAGGTCAAAGATAAGACAGTGAGCAAAGCGAATGTAGATTAGGCAGAACATCTGTTTAAATAGGATAGTAGGAAAATATTCTTAGCTTTTCAAATAGAGTTCTGTTCAAAAAGTTATCGATGGGCATCTGCTTAATTTTGAATTATTTTCTGTCTTTAACATTAGTCTTCTGATTTAAAAAAAAAAGGGTGAAAAAGCACAATTAACCCCAGTGGATAATTTGCTTGTGTTCCTACTAAAGAGAGCATGCCTCACCTGTGATCATAACGTCAGAACACGCTTTCATTAGAAATGGGCAAAGGTAGTTCAGTACATGTCTGGAGGTGCCAAATATGACTGTGTAAGAGCCTTGTTACACAGTAATTTGGGGCAGCTCCTGGAGCTCTTAACCCCTGGATTGTCCACACATTAACACCTCAAACTATAGCAAGACTTTGGGCTCCTCTGGTAGATTCAGGAAGGTTAAATATGGTTTAGAGAAGAGACCCACCATATTGACTCTTCTTTCTCTCTCTGGCCTCCACTACCAATTTGTTGTGTTTCCTACTCTGGTTTTATTTGATTAATACAAACTTCTTACTAGATAAGTGAATAGATATCAACATAATTTGAAGGCAATTCAGGAGAGCCAACAACATTAATTAAAAATCAATGGTATTTAGGTGTAGAATCACCTTGGAAAGTCTCTCCCCCGTCAAATCATTTTTCTGTCCAGATAAATTGACTCAGTCACAACTGCAGCATGTACTGTTCTAACACTGCCTTTGTTAGAAATGACTGCCCATGTCTGTGTGCTCAGATGAAGACATTATAAAGAAGCGTGGTTTTTCAGATTTGGGTGTTGAATGCATTCTGAAAATCAGGCACGTGAATGTGCTTTTCACATTAGGCAACCAAAATTGCTAGTGAAAAACTTGGTTTTAATCTAAATAGTGAAAAACTGGAAAGAAAAGGCAGAAGGGTGGGAGGAACAGCCATTGTTTTCTTCTACAATGGAAGGCAGTAAAGTAAATCCATTTATATAGCCATATATTTATTACCATTTCATTGTTTGTACATAAAGCATTTGTGTGTGGTGTGAGTGCATGTAGGATAGTTTTCAAAACCAGTGAGAGAGGACTGGAGGGATGGATTTATTTATATATTAGAAACCTGAAGCAATACTTTCATCATGTGTTCTCTGTTGCACACACTCCTGGGAGAATAACATTTTCTGCAAATTGCTGCCTTTATTTTTAGTGTGCAGAGTATGCAGGCACTTACACCACTGCCTCTTGGAACCGCATAATCTGCTCTAGAGATGGTCAGAACACAGTTCTTAGCTCATGATTTTTTTGCCAAAAGATCCAAATATCATTGGAAAGCAGACAGTTACTGATAAGTAACTTATCAATATAGGACACACTTTGTCATTCCATGTAGTATTATACAGCAGTTGGCTGAGGAAGGTAAATCAGTAGGGAGAAAGGTATTTGTCTAAATAGGCAGCTGATGTATGCTGTAATAGTGATGTGTTAGGGGGTTCTGTCTACTTCTTCCACTTTCCTCCAACCCAGTGGTTCCCAACCAGGGTACTATGGCATCCCACAGTGCCTTGAGCTCCTTTCCTGGATGCCACAGGGTACCACGCAGTGTTAGCACTGTTAGGTGTGAAAACATGATTGACAAGATAATCCCAGAGATTTCAAATAGGAATCCCTAGTGTTAAAAGCATTTTCACCTTGTGGCAGGGCACTGCTGGTGCCTGCCAC